GATCCCAGCACGGCTGCTCCCAGGCCGGGCCTGGGCCCGGGACCCCCGGCGGCAGCGGGAGCCGCCGCTATCGCGGGCAGCCGGCGCCATCTCCCGGCGTCGGGAGGGAGAGGGAGAGAGGGAAGGAAACAGCAGGGAGAGAGGGAGGGGCAAGAGGGGAGGGAGAGAGGGACGGAGAAGAAGAAGAGAGAACGGCACAGAGAGAAGAGGAAAGGCGAGAGAAAGAGAGAGAGAAGGAGGCAGGGGAGAGAGGCAGGCAGATAAGGAGGCAGGGAAGAAAGGAAAGGAAGCAGTGAAGGAGAGAGGCAGGGAGAGAGAATGTCGAGTTGTGTCTCACAGCACATTACCAACGATCCTTGCTTGGCTCCACAGCTATCCAGTTATCCATGTTCGAGACACACACATTAGCCTTCTCATCTTCTGGGCTTCTACACAAGCTCTCTGCCTCAGAGAGGACAGGGAAAACAGGCAGCACATTTAGCTTGAGAAACTTGCCCCAAAAATAATTGAAAATTTTCTTCAGGTGCAAAAACACCCATGTGAAGGTGCTCAGCATTGCTAGGTGTTCTCCATCTGCCCTATGTTAACCTGATTCTGTTTATATGCAAGACGTCAAGTACATGAAACAGGATTCTGCAGCAGACTGAGTTTAAAAAACACTCCATGAAAGGGCACTGCACTGTAGTAGGCTATTTGTGTATATATAGCTATGGTCCTTTTATTTTCTTTGGGTTTATTTTCTTTCTCTTTTCTCTGGTTTTGTTTGGTTTTGGGATTTTTAGATTTTTTTTGTTGTTGTTTGTTTTGTTGTGGTTTTTTTTGGGTGGGGGTTGTGTTTGGTTTTGGTTGTTTTTTTTTTCTTTGACAGAGATTGAGGAGTTGAAAGAAAGCTTCTGGTTTTCTTTGCAAAACAAGTTGTATGTCTGTGTAGATACTCAATTTGGGCAGCTTCACAGAATCCCAGCATGGGTCAGGCTGAAAGGGACCATGGTGGGTCAGCTGGTCCCACCTCCCTGCTCCAGCAGGGCCATCCCAGAGCACACAGCACAGGATTCTGTCCAGATGGGTCTGGAATATCTCCAGTGAGGAGACTCCCCACCCTCTCTGGACAATCTGTTCAGTCTGCAGCCTCTGCTGGCCCCGCTCCAGGAGCTCCCTGTCCCTTCTGTGCTGAGGAGCCCAGGGCTGGACACAGCTCTCCAGGCAAGGCCTCACCAGGACTTCCAAAACTAGGAGCTTCCAGGAGCCCTCAAATATAGGACTATTACAGCTTTTATTTTTACCCAACAAACCTGGAGCCAAGCCCTATCCTATGAGCATAGGAGAGCCCCATTCTTTTCATGGAAGCATTTTACTTCTTAGATCATTCCAATTCCTGGTCATCATACCATTCTACTGCAACTTTGAGCTCCACCTCTCGCTTTGATTTGCAGACACCCTGATTCTGGGACATTTATATATGCAGAATATAGTAAAGGTCAGTTTTCCCTGCACACTTTACTAAGCAAGGTACACAGAGTTCTGCACTGTGTGATTTTTAGGTGTAGCATCAACTGAGTTCTCATTATGGTGTCAGACACATATTTTTGGTGGTTCTCCCTGCTAAATGCTGCAGCAGGAAAGTTTTGCAGGGGTTAATGATTTAAAGATGGCAGGTATGATTTCTCTAGTTCTAAAGGTGGAAACAGTAGTAAACTGCTATTTACCAGCATGGAGAAATAGCTGGTAAATTCCTCCAGATTTCACCCAGACAGACTGAGAGGAACTCTAATGGATGTTACAAGAATTGGCTTTGGTTTTCTCTCATAAAATTTGCAGAACATTCTGTCAGAGAGGAGTTGTACTTCTTGACAGCGTAAGGGATTGCTGCAGTTCTGACTGAAATTTGAATGCTTGCCACAGCCTGTTAAGGAAAGCAGTGTTCTCCACTACCTTTGTCAAGTCTGTCTTTTCATTTAATATGATTTTAATTTAAAAAATAAAGGTGAAATCCTTGTGAGACCATACTTTTAAGTAGAACACATTATACAGAAGTAACTAGAACTCCTGAGTCTTTTCAGCTCTTCATATATAACTTGACATCTTCAGTGTGGAGTGATTTTTCTTCCTTCCCAGTCCACACTTTCCCAAATGGGAGATGGCTTCCAGGACTCCAGGAAGGGAGACCCATGGGTATGGTGAACCTGAGTGGGTAATGATTTCAAATTAAGGTGATTTTGTGTCTAAAACAATATAAAAAAATTATCTTTGTAGACTTTCTACTTGGTGGAACCTTTAAAAAGCAACTTTCAAAGTAAAATTCCTGTCAGAAAAAAAAACCCAAAAAAACCCAAACAACAAAACACCACAGTTGTATAGGATGCAATATGAATAACAATATTTTACTCGTTTTTGACAAATAAATATGCAAATTTCTGCTTCTTTCTCATTCTTACTCTGTTCTGAAACATTTCACCTGCACATGTTGTGAGAATTCTTAATCACTTTATATTTCTTCTACATTTAGCATGGCAGCTTTACACTTTAGAAAATATTTGCTGATCTCTGTCTTTATTTCTGAAAAATGCTGATTTAAAAAACTCAAACGTTTACCTCAAAAAAAACCTCAAAAGTTTATCTTTGGAGAAAACTCAACTACATTGTCAGTTAAAAGTTTTAAGATGGTCTGTACTATGATTTAACAGTTCTGAGCATTTTTCATTGTGTTTTTTCTTTTTATCCCTGCTTGAAACCACTTTGCTCTAACTGATTAATTGTAAAAAAAATATCTTTAGTTTGAAATCTTTGGATTTTATCCTAATTCAGGAAAGAAAACAGTAAAAATCACCATACCAAATAGTGAGTATGATAGGAAACCATTTCCCACCTAGAGCCATGAGCACCTAAATCTGTTGGCCCAGATTTTTGCATTACAGCTGCAAGTCCTTAGACTGAAAATTCTGGATCAAGTCAGGATTTTGCCATTTCTAGAGGAGAAATATGACTTGGTTGCCTGTTGTTCCAGGACAGTGGCCTCCCAAAAAAGATGTCTGAGGTTTGCAGCAGGTGATTGTTATTGTTGTTCCAGCCTGAGTCACCCAAAGCACTATCTGACAGACTTACAGAGGTCTGTGGGATGATGAAATGAAGGGAATTAATTCTTCCTCATGGTCTCATGAAGGGGAAGTGAAGGCATCAGAAAGCATTTTAGCCTCTGTAGGTGAAGAAGGAGGATCTATATCAGCAGTATTTGCTGTCTTTTCAAGTCCATCCATGGTGACATATTCAGAGTAAACCAGTTACAAATATAAGCCCTAATTTTTCTCTGTCCTTTCAGATCAATGTTGTTGGAGAGGGGATGCAGCTTGTCCAGCCTGTTTATGTTACTCAGGTGTTAGTGTCATAACTTCTGTTCCCTTTGCATCTGTGAAAGGATGGGAGGAATGTGAATAAAAAGCAGGGCCATATTTCCTAAGTACATTCACAGGACTTGGCAACTCATCCTTCAGATCATATTACAAATGAGATTCAGCAAGTTTTTCAGCCTTTCCTGCTTCTCACAATCACTTTGAGTTTGATACCCTTTTTATTGGAGGCGTGTTTCTTTTGTAGCCTCTCTTTTCAAAGTCCCTGCCTATCCCACAAGTTCCTTCTCCGTTTGTTGGCTCTTATCAGGAATTCAGTGTGCTCTGGGGGGCACTTGCCTCTTCTCTTTGTTAGTCACAAAGTATCTGCTATATTGCTTTTCCATCTCCAGTCTCTGAGGGCTCCTGGGAAGGACATGAAATATAAAATTACCTAGCTCTGTCTTTAGATAATGGTGATAGTCCTCTAATCCCAATGCACAAGATCCTTTGTTTTATGCAGATGAATGTCACCACCTGAAAGAAACTGAAGATCCAAGACCAGCTCAGAGTTTGCAAGCTCTCATCCTTCCTATCACCAGCAATAAATTTGTGCTAAGGCATTTTGAGGGATTATTTGAGGGTAATTATTTACTTAACAAGGTGGTAGCTTACCAGAGGATGTGGTTTGGGATTATTTGCCTTCAAAGCTCTCAGGGGGAACACAAGTTTAAAAGATTTCCTAGGGAATTCTTACCTTTAGAAAACCTATTTCCTGATTTTCCTACCCCTGAGATGTTCAAAGGCCCTCTCCTTGTTACCTGGAGGTCCTGCCCTCTGTGGGTCACTTGTCTGGCCCAGCAGGGATAGGATCTGACCTAGGATCTGAGCAGGACACTTGGGATTTGGAGGGTGCTGAAGTGTTGGGTGATGAACATGGGATATCTGGGGCATGAAATTAAGCAGGAGTCCTGTTGTACTGCTTTGCTAAGCTTCTTTATGTAGGGGGCTCTGTGGAGATTTTCCTGTTTCCATTCCCTTTTGGTTTTGATTTTTCAATCAGTAGCTCCACGCTTCTGAGAATTTTCATGTTTCTGAGTGGAGCAGACCCAGTGTCCCTGGTGGTCACCACAGTTGACATTTGTTTTCCTACAACCTGAGATAAAAGTATAGCTCCAGGAAGGAGCTTATTTCTTTGGATTTTATTTCTTTATGGGGCAGGGGGTGTGGGGGGGGAGTGGTGTTTTGTTTTGTTTTGTTTTGTTATTTTTTTGTTTTGTTTTGTTTTTGTTTTTTTGTTTTGTTTTGTTTCGTAAAGATATTTAGCGGGATTGATCCTGACAGCAGGCACAGGATGTCTGCAGATGAAGCAGGCCCCGACAGTCTTTTCCCATCTGTTCACCTGCATGTGCCCATGCTTGTATTTTTGAAGGAGGGATCACCTCTCTCTTCTGTCTGGTTGATAGTATGTGGTGATAATTCTGCAGCTCTGCAACAATCCAGAAAGTTCCTCTTTAAAATAAGTAGTTTTTCTTCCAGATATCAGGAGTATTTCAATGTCCTTGAGACTCTCCTTTGTTTTCCCTCTGCTTTAGCTAATATTTATTTTTATTTCTGATTCTTTTTTTGCAGTTGCCAGCAGGAGCCTTTGCAGCCCTGAGTATTGAAAGTCAGATGTTGGTGTTGTGAGTCCTATTTTTGCTCTGAGTACTGGCAGGGCACCCAAAGGCAGTCTGAGATGGCTCCAATTCATATTGGCCCTTGTTATCGTGTCTGTGTGCTAGAAAGAACATCTCTTCCTCTTGACTAACTTTCCTGTTGATTTTTTTTTTCCTTGTTTTCACATGACTTCTTTTTTTGTGGACTTCAGCCACTCAATAATAATTAACAATGCAAATAGCAGGCAATTACAGCCAATCTTCTCTTACGCTTCTCTTCATTCTCAGGAGTTCTGGCATAGACATAAATAACATAATTATGGTGTAATCTATTTATGGATGAAGTTCCAAGTCCCGCTGAGGACTTCCCAGTGGGAGCAGCAAGCCAGGGCCATCCATGTTATAAAGAAGCAACATCATCAACACCATCCTATTGAAAGGAAATGTTGCAGTATCAGTCCATATGGAATTGCTATTTTCTCCTCAGATATCCACGAGTAGTGGGACTTTGGCAGCCTCTTGGTGTTGTACATACAGTACACGTAAACTCACTAGATCTGGACATCATTAAAAAGTCAAACCTGCAGGCAGGAGGTTGCTGGGATCTTGTCTTGCT